GGCCTTCCGTGCGCGGCGCGCCGCCCCGCCCCCAGCCTGCCGAGCTAGGGTTCCACCCTAGGGAGCGTCTCCAAAGAGCGCGGCTCCCGCTCTCTTTCCCGGCCTAGCTCTAGCTTCCTGCCTCTTGGGCTCCCTTCCTTCCCCCCCTGCAGGCCGGACAATCTCGGCAGATGGCCGCACTGCTGGCCACATCAGGAAGACGTAGTAAAGTTCTGGGCAAAGAACTAGGTGGGTGAGGGCTTTCCCTTCTCGAGTTGACCGCCACCTCCTCTCCCCATTTTTAAAAGAGAGAAAAGAGAGCCAGAGACATTAGTGAGCCAGAGGCTAAAAATCAGAAGCAGAGAAAGATGCTGGAAGAGGAGCCCATGGAGCAGAGCGGGGAGACCGACTCAAGCAGAAAGAGGAGGGGAGCGGCGGAAGGAGGGAGGGCGCCCACAGACAAGGCTTTTCTGGAGGAAACATGGCCTTTGGTTGGGTCTCTAGAAGGGAAACTGCCCCTGGGGCTAGGTTGCGGTTTTGGTCTCTTTCTGCTCTTCAGCCCAGCCTCTCTTGCCCTTTATGCTAAAAGGACAGGGGAGCATCTATAACCCCTTTTTAAGGGATGTGGGGAGAGACTACCTGGGAGGCATTTTCAGTCAGAGGGAGTTGAGTATGAGCTGCTGACCTGGGCGGTAGGGGCAGCTCTCAGGCACCTGGGAGACGCTGCGGAGGGGACCAGGGAGGCTTTGGGCTTGTGCCCATCCTCCCCAGAGCTTCTCCCTTGCTTTGGAGAACCTCCAACCCTCCCCGCAGAGATCAGGCTATGTTCTCCCTGCAGAGGCCCAGACTTGTTGTACCCACTCTTTCTGTTCCTTTCCTCAGTACATTTTCTTTAATTGAAAACAAAATTTACTTGGGAGTACGTGCACGTGGGTGTGTGCGCACTGGTGCACGCCTGTCTGCTGAGGGCAGGGAGACAAGTAGAGAGGTGATGAGTAGTAGAGGCCCCTGCCTCGGCCTTGGCAGCAGCATCCACCCACTGCCTAGAGAATAAAGTGGTCCTGCAGGTCCCCAGCCCGTACTCAAAGTTGTGTGTTCCTGGGGATTTGCCTGAGCTGGGACCCAGGGCCCTGCCAGGCAGGGAGGTATAGGGAGAAGGCCAGGAGCCTGGTCTTAGCTGTGAGGGAACAAGGAGAGTTCCCTTGCCCTTTTCCACCCATGTCCCACTAGTTTCAATCCCGGCTCCCAGAGCTGGCAGCCCTTCCAGAATCTTCCAGCCAGACTCCTCATCAGTCTTTGAAATGCTACCACAGTCTTTTTCCATCAGGTGTCCTCAAGGGGGCTTCAACGCTGTGCCCCCTGGAGCCCTCTGGAGTCAGCACCCTCCCATCCCCCACTCCCCTCGCCCACATCCCCACCCAAGCTGCCAACAGGAGGGAGAGCTGAAATCAACATCTGGAGAGAGCCAAGCACTGCAGGTCCTAGCCCTGCCATTTAGCCAGCCTTGGGGGACTTAAGACAACTTAACTAACCTCTCTGAGTTGCCACAGCAGTAAAGTACCATGTGAAACTGCCCTGGAACTGCTCAGGGACTGCCCCAGGGGCCAGCCAGGTGTAAAGAGCTGTCTATCCTGTTTACCTCTTTTGAGAGGCTCCTTTGGGGACCTGCAGCCCAGCTGGCTGGACCATGCCTGCAAAGGGGGTGGCAGCCAGTGGCCCTGGGTTCCCAGGAAGTTGAGAACTTTTCCGCTGAGTCTGTTTTATGCTCTTGTGAGGAATAAAGAGGGTAATTTAGGTAAAACATTAGTCTGGCTGGCTGGAAGCTCTGTGTGGGCTTATTGCTAAGATGTCTGCCATCAGGGATTGGAGTTGAGGCTGGGGAACCCCTCTAGCTTGGGAGGGGAGCGGACAGGAGAGTGGCTCTCTGACTTGTCTAGCCTATGGGTCTGCTGACTCCCGTTTCAGGGCCCCTGACTGCCAAGACCCTTGTATGCAGGCTCCAGGCCCCCTCCAGAGCCTCTCACATAAGTAACATAAATAACATAAACCTGGTAAACAAGCCTTCTCACTTTGGCTGGTCCCTGGGCACTTCCACATTCATCATTTCCCTTGATCTTCCCCACCTTGAGGTGGCCTCCAGGAGCTTCCTGGGAAATCCCCTCAGCATCCCCCCTCCCCCATCTCTGTGCCTCTGGTTCATCTCCCAGCTTCAAGGCTTCTCCCCTGCCCTGTCTGCTGCCACACTGCCCCCACTCCACCAGTGCATGACCTTTGTAAACTGCAAATCTGCAAAACGAACCTGACATGAGCTGCTGAAAACCTTTCAATGGCTTTGGTATGCCATGCCTATGTGCACAACCTCCCCCTTCCCCACCTCTTCTGTCAGTTGTGGCCACCTCCTCTTATACAGCCCAAGCTGTAGTCTTCTTGTCACTTGGAAATGAGGGGGAGGGACTTGCAGGCGGTAGTGCCTTTGCATTCTTCAAGTGTTTGTCCACTGTCTCCTCTCCCAGGAAGCCCACTGTTTGGCAAAGTTGTCTGTCCTATTATGTTGCCTTGACCTTTGTACATAAACATTGTCATTGTCACCATTGTGGCCATCCTGGCTGCTGTGTCATGCTGGAGTCTGAGCTGGATACTCTTAAGATTGTTACATCATTTGATCCCAGCAAGCACCACCCAAGTTGATGCAGGGGAGGCCCACAGTGGGGAGGGATCTGTCCCCGGCTGCACAACCAGGACAGGGGTTGGGGCTCCATTCCTTGCTCTTCTGCAGAGTCATCTCCCCAAAGAGCAGACTGTGTTGTAGCAGAGAAGCCTTGCAACCCCGGGGGCCCAGACTAGTCATTGGGCCATCTCTTCTAGCTCGAGACGTCAGGCAAGCCACTTCCTTCCCCAGCCTCAGTTTCCTTACCTGTGAAATGAGGATAAAAGCCTTGCCTTGGAGCCAGCGGCTGATGTGGTAGTGAAGGCACTGGATTCCCACAGGGCCAAGTGACAGCTTGTCCTGGACTCGGCAGCTTGCTTTCTCACTTTCTATCTGATGAGTACATGTGCCCTATAGCAAGTTAAGAAATAATAATCAATAAAATTAAATAAATAATTCTTAAAAGAAAAGAAAGAAGCCCTCACAGGGATATT